ATGAAATGTAACTTTATATATACAGTCATGTACAATTAATATACTTAAAATCTGGAAGTATACAAATAGGAAATATAAAAAAAGTTTTAAAGTTTAATTTAATAATTTTGTTGTTGGATATTAAATTAATCTCGACTTTTTTTTAATTTAAAAAATTGAATTTGATATTAGTTTTATAGATTATTCATATAATTATCAAGAAATGTTATAAATATCGTTCGGTACATATCTTTTTATGTTTTTTTTAAACCAATACGTCTTAAAATGTGTATATCTTATTCAAAGTTTCCTTTAATTTAAATTGAAATCATCCTTCTTGTATCCTTTAAAAATTCACTTCAAATTACCACTTCAAATTTTGAAAGCTACACCACTTGATGACAGATAATTTTCTTTTCCAAATGAACTTTGCAATTTGAGCCCATCTTCCACAGTTTTTTCAATTCTAAAGTGAGCATTTCTAATCAAAGGTTGCCTGGCGTCCGGTTTCCTCTGTACTCTATTCATGGTACCATACAGTCCTTTTCATAACATCTGATTTTTCTATTTCCATCGCCTTCACAAGAGCCATATGACAAGATTTAAACAATTATGCAACAAAGTAAAAAAAAACGGAGTTTAAAGTGTTTAAAAATTAATAAATTCTTCATTGTTTTCCAATGTCTAAAAATCTTTTAAGAACAGAAGAGTCACAATTAAAATTCTACATTAACTACAGTTTATATCTGGTACATTAAAAATTCAAATCTAAAGTTAAAGAGATAGTAATGGATCAGTTTAAATTTTAGGTTAAAACTTCTTTAAACGTAAGACATGCTTGGATTGTACCGAAAAATTTTCCAATTATCAAATCTATCCCCTTTGTGAAATAGAAACTAAAATACAAAGTCATATTTATAGGTGTTTATACTTATTTAATCCAATAATTACCTTAAGCATATTCGATTAATCTGACGGTTTCAGGATAAAATAAGTTTTTTTTTCTTTTGAAGAATTTATTTTATTCCAAACTTTACGTATGGAATGTGAAAATGGAGTTAGTGTACTAACGCCATTAAATAAAAACCTGAATTTGAATTTGAACAATTTTGGCTTGAATAAAGAATAATCTATTTTATCAATAGCATAAATCTTAGATTATGTTTTCCATTTTTTTTAGTTTTAATGAATTGTTATTTATTCAATAAGCAACGGTATGCCGGGCGATGCAACCTTGAACATGGCGATTCTTCTATCTGCAAGTTACTAAAAAAAACTCTTTTCATATGAGCATTTTTCATTTTAAAAATGACAATTTTTTTCTGTAAAAGTGGCAAATTTTTCTTTATTCTGAAAATTCTATGAAATTTTAATATAAATGTTGTATGGAGTGTCCAATCTATGAAGGACTTTAAATAACGTTAAAATAAGTTAAGATAAAAGGTATAAAAGTAATAAGTAGATAGGGAATGACCTTAAGCCTAAAAGTCCATCAAATCAATTCAAATAAGAAATGGACCAAACACTAACCTTAAAAACAGTAGGGGTGTGAGCAGGTGTGAGGAAAGAGAAAGCATTTCATTACCGACAAATTACGCGTCGCGTGTCCTTTGTCATTTTTTTGGCAGAGAAATCCTTAAACAATTTAGTTTTAGACTTTTATAAACGAGACTTTTCATCAAATTGTTTGTCAATTTTTTGTCTGAATTAATAAACATACGTACATATAACAAGCTTTTGTGCATCGAATGTGAGATAAAACCTCAGATACATGTATTGGTGTAAAGATATATTGTATATTATATTAGGGAAAGTTTCGGATGAAAACAAAACTAGTCATCACGCTAGCATTACGTTTAGTTGTTAACTTGTCAGCATTACCCTAACGATTTTCTTTAGTGAAATATCTAAATATGAAACAAATGTATCAGATTCGAGCTCTGTGGTATCTGTCATTTCAAGTTTATAGGAATATATCGGGTCTACAAATGAAAGAAGTAGCTTTCATTGTCAAATGATAATACGTCGTCGATATAACTAAATATAGACTTGAAGGCAACATCAAACGCTTCCCTTTAATAAATTCAGCTTTTATATGTAAACAAAAACAAATCTGCTAATGTAATATGTTATTTACATAACTATATCATATGGACACTTTAAGACTCAAAGTCATTGATCATTGATATATGATGTTTTAAAACCGAAAGACTCGTTATAGAATGTTAGAGGTAAATATTGATCGACACATTACTAGTTAACAATAGTGACTTGACATTTTAAAGAAAGAATTCTTCAGGTTCTTAAAGTCAGACTCTTTAGCAAACTATGATAGGAAACATTATATTTACTTTCGATCAAAAAAGCAGGTTATACAATTTGTATATCAATATTTAAATACAAAAACTAATAAAAAAGAAATTGAATTACTCTAGAGTAACCATATTTTTTTTATATTATTTTTATGATTAAGAAGATGAGATGATAACTCTTTGAAGAACAACTGCCTGTGGTTAAAACCTACTCTCTCATCACGTTCTTCAAATTTAGCCATATCATAAACATATTCTCCATCTAACGGTAAAGGAAAGCATTCCTCACTTTTCGTTGAAGATAGGCATAAATTGCGTTCTCCAGCTTCCATTGCATGTAAATGATTCATTTCACCGCCAGTGTTTTCTTTGTGGATGTTCTTGATGCGTAATGAAGAGAACCTTCTGTGTTTCTGGAAGGCATTGTGTACTTCCTCAGTCCGTTGTAAATTGAAGACAGAACTTTTCATATATGTCGACGAGGAGTCGGAATATCTCCTCGTGAGTTTTTTTTCCTGCGACTGGTTCTTCATATCCGGTTACACGGAGAGTGAGTTTATTATAAACACCGTCATCGAATGTCTCCTCCTGACAAAATGCGGATAATTTGGTCTCGTCTTCTGTTTTTATGGTACTATAATTTTCAGTTTCTGTTTTATAACATGTTGTGTTCTGAAGATCATCCTTCGAGTGATGCTTTCTGTGTTTAGTTATGTCATATGGAGGTATATCTTTAAAAATACCAAAAAAAAAACCAGAAACATATTAAATGAAAAGCTTTGATTATTGGACCTTAAGTTTGAAATAAACGTCAAGTATTTCAAATTAAGGCTCTCGAAAAAAAAACGACAGAAATCATAGATTTTACCAACAAAGTTCTTTAAAGATGTCTTTCTCCGCCTGCACCTGTACTTCATAATTAAGTAACATTAAAACAAAATAAAAATAGATATACATGTATTCACTATATCAATTTTGTCTTCAGTATAATCAATTTAATTATTCATTCTTTCACTATTAATGACTTTGAAACTTGCATAATTTTTTTGCATAACATTAAATCTTTGCTATGCACTCTGCAACATCATTTATCAGGTTTAGCATTTCAAGAATTAAATATATTTCTTATATATTATAGTTACTACATATTAACAATTAAGTAATAATTATTTCACCAAAGAAGATGTATTTACTTTTGTTGAATATAGAGAATATATTCTAGCCAATTCAAATCTCATCGAAATAAGTAATTTCTACAAGATAGCTGCAGTATTGGAGATTCTGATTTCGGTATACTTGTGATGAATGTCAATCAACTTTAAGAACACTATTAGAAATCCTCTCATTCAGGTTAGACAGGGGCTTGATATCACTTAGGCTAGCGGATTTAAGGGGGCGTGAGGGGCGCACACACCATTAAATTTTTTTAAAGTATGATATGATAAATATTATTAATGCCAAATTTTGATACATATCTAACCAGTGACACTATTTTTGTTTATGGTTTGACTATTAAATTACACGAAAACTCAGGAGCTTCCAGTGGCTTCGCCCCCTAGGCCCCACCTTTCAAAGAGACTAATATTATTTCATGTCATACTTTGGTATACCCACTGGGGGCCTAAAGGCACCCTCCTGACCATCTGCTTGAACGAAGTTAGCAACCCCCAGCCCCTGTATTACATATCCTATATCCTGTATTCGCCCATGGATATTACATGTTGTACATCTTAATATTTCTTTATATTATACACATGTCCTTTGGAACTGGGGGGGGGGGGGGGGGGGGAGGGTTGACGATATATAGAATCCTAAAGAAAACGTAGGTACTATATGCTGGTGCCCCTTCAATAAAACCGTCTGATGACCCTTTTTTTTATTATTTTTTTTGTTTGTCAAAGAATTTTGTATATCTGGGATTTGAGCTTTCCACTTGTTAATTTGTGACTACGCCTCTGTTTATGTTACCATGGTAATTAATTTTGCAGCTATTGATAATATTTATATAACGTGCTTGTAACGCAGGTTAAAGGCATTTTATTCAAAAACAGTTCTTACATTAATTTCTTAATAAATAAATCGAAAATGAATTCTTTATTTCTTAAGGAAGAATAAAAGGACAAAAACAGCTTTAAAAAGTAATCGAGACAATATAAAAATTGTAAATTATCCCATTTAATTACTTGTCTCTATCTATATACAATATCTTATGTTTAATATGAACTATAAAATCCCAGTAGTATATTAATATAAAAGTATACATTGACAAACCTTGGTCAACACAGCCAAATTGTTTGTCACAAGTGATGTTTACGCTGCAATTACATTTTTATCGACATTGATAGCCGTATGTTTCATTTGGACATTGCTTATTGCAATTTTCCCCATAAGTTCCCGGGTTACAAACTGAAAAAAATATTGACATTATTCAAATAGAACCACAACATTGCGAATAATCTAACATAAAATTAGGACTGTTCTTTTAAGATGTATATATGACCAATTCCATGTGTATTATGATAATATATATATTCTTGTATTTGTAGATCTGCCATAGCTTTCTCACTTTTCTAATATATTCATAACATGAACCTGCGTTTTTCTTCTCCGCTTGGTCATATATACATCTTAAAAGAACAGTCCTAATTTTATGTTAGATTATTCGCAATGTTGTGGTTCTATTTGAATAATGTCAATATTTTTTTTCAGTTTGTAACCCGGGCACTTATGCGGAAAATTGCAATAAGCAATGTCCAAATGAAACATACGGCTATCAATGTCGACAAAAATGTAATTGCAGCGTAAACATCACTTGTGACAAACAATTTGGCTGTGTTGACCAAGGTTTGTCAATGTATGTTTTTATATTAATATATTACTGGGATTTTATAGTTCATATTAAACATTAGATTTGTAAATAGATAGAGACAAGTAATTAAATGGGATAATTTACAATTTTTATATTGTCTCGATTACTTTTTAAAGCTGTTTTTGTCCTTTTATTCTTCCTTAAGAAATAAAGAATTCATTTTCGATTTATTTATTAAGAAATTAATGTAAGAACTGTTTTTGAATAAAATGCCCTTAACCTGCGTTACAAGCACCTTATATAAATATTATCAATAGCTGCAAAATTAATATCCATGGTAACATAAACAGAGGCGTAGTCACAAA